AGTACAAGGGTTAATGAAATAGAAACAACACCCTTTGTGTCCGAATGATCGCATCTCAGGACCCACTTGCACCAGGAACGCCCAAAGTGAAAAGTCATAAAAACCGATGGCGGAATGCATTAATACCGAGTCACGTCAAAAGTCATACTTCCAAAAGAAACACAATAGCACAAAGACAAGTAACGGGGAAACTAAAGTAAAATTAAAAGATACACAACTTCAGCACCTATAATCTATAACTCAACACCATCTTGTATAACTTATTAAGTAGACACTGAATATTTATCTATAAGGTCTTGCTACTTTCCGATAAAATTTTTGAAAATAAGAACGAGACGTCCTTTGACAAAACTGGGGAAATGTAATTATCATTGACTATAATTGATCACAATTATTGATCACAATTATTAAAGTAATTTAACACAATTTGTAAATGAAAATAATTTCAATTGCTTTTAATGATAATTAAGTTGATTACAAGCATTAGGTAAGGTGAGGGTTGACCCCGTCACATAGTTTATGTGCCTGTCCCAAGTCAGAAGCCCATAGTTCATGTCTGTCATAATGGTTTTTCGTAAATTGTTTTGTTATGAATTAGGCCGTTATTTTTTCTCAATTGAATTGTTTCATGTTTTCCATATCGGGGCCTTTTATAGCCGACTATACAGTATTGTTTTTTTTCTCATTGATAATACTGAAAAGTGTACGGTTGCCTATAGTTGCTTACATCCATTCGTTTGATGTGTTTGAGCTTTTGATTTTGACATTTGATTAGGGACTTTCCTTTTTGAATATTCCTCGGAGTTCAGTATTTTTGTGATTTTACTTTTTACATCCACTTCATTTGAAATTGGGTGGATAGTTGTCTCATTGGCAATCATACCACATCTTCTTATTTTTATACTAAATAACCTGTTATTAAAATTGAATTTTAATTAGTATCACAATTACATTCAAGCAAATTATAATGTTCCATTTCAAGATATGCATAACCATTTTATAAAGATACAAAACAGTTTATGTTCATCAGTTCATATATTATTATTAATAGAAAAAGACCGTTTAAAAATATTTGTCCTTTATGGACATATAAATTGTCATCCGTTTCGGTTCTTATATATCCCCGGTTTTCAAATACTCGGCTATAAACATTCTTGGTAAGGTCATTCTAGAAAAGCGCCTCGCACGCATAAAATGTATAAAGTACTGTTTTCATTTTTTTGAAGAATTTTGACGAACCTTTCAATTTGTTATCAGACCATACATGTGAAGAAATATTGGTATTTTTAGATTTAAACACAAGAAAGCCTCATTCAAAAAAGAATCCAATTAATCATCATAATTAACTAATGTGTGAAATGTCCTGAGGTCAGAATTTGGAAACAATTTTGGCTTGGGTCGTGGTGTCAAATAAATAGTTACATTATACATTTGTTACAAAATGACATCAGGTCAGAATTAAGATATTAGTATTATCAAGTTAACTTCTACACTCCTTTTATGATTTTAAAATGTAAGTTTGAATTTGATAAATTACTTTGGAAAATTAATTAAAATACTGGCATAAGAAAAAAAATTGTAATTGTAAATGATTGAGGATTTTGTTATGAAATTGTAAGTTAACTAATTACTTATCATTTACAAAAAATTGACCCTATGTCTGATGTATATTTTCACTGTACATCAACTGTGCTTTTGAAAGACATAACTATAAATACGTTGTATGAGTAATAAAACCTAAATAGAACAGTCAAAGCCGTCAAAGTTCAAATATTTTTGAGAAAATTACAACCTTAGTTTGAGCAAAGAAAAAACTTTAATCAATTGACAATTCATAGCAAAGTGCATCATACCAAAATACGCCAATACACTTCACCACTGTTAACTGCAGATAGTTACCTTTGTAAAAACATGTAGTGAAATATACATCTGATATGATTCATTATAAATCACATTCGTTTCCTTAATTGACTTCCCAAAACAAAATCTTGGAAATCAAATAATTTAAAACAAATCAATTGTGTAGTGTTCGTCGCAACCAAAAGGAGAAATTAAAATAATAACCACCAAACCCCTCAAAGATCAACTTTTTTCAGGAAGTTGCAACTTTGATTTTGTACCTAATTTGAAAACTGAATCCCGAAAACGCAAAGTTATTGGTCTTTACACCACATAAACTACAAACATTAAACTGAAGTCTGTGTCCAACTACAGAGTTTCATCAACAAAACGCATAATATCTTTAAACCAAAGTAAATGTTATTCAAAGAAGCTTCAAAATAGCGAAATTTTGTCAATCCACAATATTTATTTCCCCACAACCCAGCACTTTTGTGTTATAACATTATGTTCTTATTTTTTTTGTATAGGAACTATTGGTTATAGTTTATTTATTCTAAGTATAAAGCATAAATTCATGTGGTAATATTTAAATTAGATAAAGAACTGTAGGTGTTTTGAACATAAATAATTTGACGTGTGAGTAAGCATCCGAAAGCAGCAAACCACCAACACAAAATTACCAAATAGACTTTTAGACGTCATGTAAGTATAACAAGACAATTTGCATCAACTATCATTATTCCAGGTTATAACTCTAAAGGAATTGTATTTGATCACTCAAATGTCTTTCCCGCTAAATTATATAACCTTCTTACTTAGAAGAAAAGGGCAAATATAATGCATTATTATGCAAATCTTTATCGTTCACCCGTTGGAATTTAAGTCCAGCCGTTAATGTCTCACCAAACTAACAGAAATAACATACACCGAAAGCGATATCTTTTAGCTTGACATTTTGCGACAATATATGCGTCCAGTTGAGTAGATTAGATATTTCTACAAACAGTCGGTATCAAAAGGGTACTTTTGCGCACCCGGCTGAATCAGCACCTGGCATACGGTCTCCCTCCGCTTGGAGTTCTTGCGTTCCAACGGGTATGTTCCTTATATTCCATCAGCAGAGGTATCGATCTACATACAAATTAATTGTTTTCAATCATGAAAAATCTTTACCTTGTTAAGAACCAAACTAACTCAAGCGACAAAAGCACCGAGAGCGATATCTTTAAGCTTAACCTTTTGCTCGACAATATATGTGTTCAGTTAGGTAAATTGATATTTCTACAAACAGTTGGAATTCAAAGGGGTGCTCATGTGCAGCCGTCTGAATGAGCGCCTGGAATACGGTCTTCACCACTTGGAATTCTTGCGTCCGTCGAGTATTGTCCTCTTGGTATGTGTAATAGAAAAGGAGTTGTGTGTTTTGAACATTGATAAACAAATGTTGCGTCTTATTAAGACCACTCTACCTACTGTCTTTTATTAAAAAGTATAGCTTGCATTATTTGACTAATTCCTTTCTTCGTCTAGTGTATTATATGTATCATGATATATAGCGATTTCGAGATATAATAAATGTGGAGTACATATTAATTTAGATACAACGTAGATAAGGACAATCATACTTGTAATACAATTAAGAGACAACATTAATACAATAATAAACAGAAGACAAAAGATTGAGGGCAAACTCATGTGCTCCGATAAGGTTAACAGTGCCTGTTCTACTAGTGATAACCGCCGTGTGTCTCATGTTGATACGTTGACGGGTCTTAAATAGGAATCAACTATCAAACGATAGCGGGAAGGCCAATGTATCTTGTCTTATCCAACTTGACCGAATATGACAGATGAAATGAAAAGAAACTGTTCGGGACCAAGGATAGACAAGACGGTTACCGATGGGAACAAAATTGACATTGAAACATAAAACAAAACTAATGGTGAAGTCAGGTGCTACGGAAACGTATACACTTTCTGCTTACGCTCCAACTATTGATATTTACATTATTACCTGGAATTCATCCAAACATTATTAAGCAGTTGCTCTAAACTCGCATATCGATACCGTTCCCTTCGCGAGATTCGAGACACCAACAGCAAGATCGCCTGAATTATGCATTTTTTTTTTTAAATATAAAGCTTTTTAATTTGATAAAAATTAAATCAAATACTTATAAAAGATGGCCATTACACATATATAAAAATAATTAATTTCAATGACATTATTTCTTTAATACATATTATCATATACTGTTTTTGGTTATTTGTGTTGCTTCCTCATTGATGTTTAGCCAACATCTCTATTGCTTTCATTTATAGTACTGAGAGATATATGAATCAGTAAGTTGTTCCTTCTTTCTTTCTTTTTTATATTTAAATATTGTAGGTGATAGTTGACGCTGGTTTTTTTCTCTCTCAAACCGGTTATATCGTCATACATAACAGTGATTATGCTGAGCTAAATTATATAAAAGACGTATAACATTAGATGACCTGACTGGAACGACATGCGCATATATATTTGTATTGTTTTTGAATAATTCTTTAAACGTTTAAGTTATTAATAACTCCCTGTCTCAATTTTTATATTGTGGACTGAATAATAAGTATATTTTTTTATACGATGCAATAAATAACCAGTACTGCTGTCCGAAATAAAATGACATTAGCTTGAAATAAAAAATGGTATGTTAGATACTAATTTGTTATACAATGTAAACAAAAAAACAGTAACATATTAGATTATGTATGCTGTAATTTTATTTTTAAATATTGAGGTATTTTTTATTAAACAAATAAATTATTCACCAATAAAAAGAGTCAATTTTAAATTTAATTTATATAGTATCATATCTTTAAAGTTTAAATGATTTAATACCACTAAAATTGATTTTCACTGTTTTTAAAACAAGCTGATAATGATTTATATCTAATACTTCATATAAACTTATAAAACATTGATTTAAACTTTTATATTTCATATGAATTTATGTACATAAAATAGTATGCAACATAAAATTCCAAAAACGACATTCAGAAGCACTTTAAAGTATATATTATTTATATAATGAAACGCGTAAACCCTGTGTACTTTATGATAAATGTTGGAAGATGACAAAAATGTCTTTGCATATTTGCAACATAAATCTTCTTACCTTGATGCAAGGGGAAGGAATCACCTATATGTCGTTAGATAGGCTGTATCGTCAGCAGATTGTTTCTCCTCATAATCACGTGATAAAATAATGTACCAGCATTTTAAATTTTGTCAGATTTAGATATATCAAACTTCAACATATACAATGATATAAGTACAAGTCCTATGATTATAATAAACATATTACAGAATGCATAATATAAAGAAAAAACCCTTCTAAAAGCAAAATATTAATAAAAAAAAAAAACATTTTACGCATTGACAATAAGGTTGACGCTATCTAAGACAAAGCATATCATAGACATTTTAGAGTATTCTGTTGTGGCCTTCTTAGCTTTGATGCTTGGCTTCACAAACTTTGGGAGTCGATCGAACATGATAAAGGTTAGTCCAGAGACACATGTCGGGTACACAAACTCGATAACATATAATATAAAATTATTATTGAATTGAAGGTGGAAAATAGTAATAAATTAAGTTAATCAAAAACCTGCCTGTCCGAAAAGGGTAAATCCTCTTAATCGTGTTTTATCACAAACTGATGATTGATCGTTGATAATTTAAATAGTCAATAGAAAAAAAACAACAGTTTCAAATTGAAATTTATATTTATATATTTTCTGTAAAGAGAGCTATGGCAGGAGAGCCTTTGGGATATAAACATTGAAGATTCATATACATGATCAATATAAGATCGATACAACAACAAATACCTGTACCAAGTCAGGAATATGGCAGTTGTTTTTCACCTCTTCCGTTGATTGACAGTGATTGATTTTGTCAGTTTTTATTGACTTCCCCCTTTTAAAATTTGCCTTGGAGTTTTTAACACTTTTTTATTAGCCCACCTCCATGAATTCTATAATTGACATTATCCATGATAATTGCATCAAAATTGGTAGAGAATATTCATGCACGAAAGAACAATAAATTATCTATTGAAGCAAGATTTTGATTTCATCTGAGCATGAATGTGTATCCCCTTCAAAAAAAATTCTTCCGTTTTCGTTGAGTGAGAGTATAGTAAAACATATTATTTGAGCGGGTTATGTAGTGTAAAGTCTTTTAGTTTTTTTTTTCATTTAAACTTGTCAACGTCAATGGGGCAAAGACATAAGGACACTAATAACCAAAAGACAGAACATAATATTTATTATCATAGAAGAATTTATCATCATAGAGGAATTTTGAGTTGTACGTTATTAAACATTGTTTAAACTGAAACAGTTGTACAGATTTTCGATGAATGATTACGAAATTGTCTATTTTGTTAAAATTTAATCAAAGAGTGTAACTAGATCATTTCTTAATTTACGGGCTTTATAAACAAAACCACCCAAAGAATATATAAGCCCGGTGTCTTTGATTAATTTTTACACCACTAAGTTGATGTCAGACTCAAAGATATCACCGGCCCAGTAGTCAGTTCTCCTGTTCTGTCATAAAATGTCATTGATACGGTCATTTTCAGTTATGGCTGCTGGATCTCAAGTATTGCCACATTAACCCATTATGTCTGTATGGGTATTTCACCCACTTTTGTCAATATAACGGAAATATAAGCAACAGTTATGCAAGTGGGGGGTTAGAAGTTAACTATAAAACCAGGTTTAAACTACCATTTTCTGTTAAAATTGCCTGTACCAAGTCAGGAATATGACAGTTATGCATTCGTTCCGATGCTTGATATAGTCTAACGCTTGATTTTATGGACTTCAATTTTTTTATGCCTTGGAATTTGGAATTTTGTTAACTTTTTTTTCTGTATATTTACTGTTTATAAAACCTTAAAATAATTTGAAACACCTAGGTTCTTCTGCCTCTAGGAGTTATAGATGGACTTCAACAAGATGGCATAATGGTTTGGAATGTTTGGTTTTCAAAACATTTAAATAAAGGCAACAGTAGTATACCGCTATTCAAAAGTCATAAATCCGGGTTACAAACTAAAACCGAGGGAAACAATCAACTATAAAAGGAAAACAACGGAACAACAGCAACACTGAAACACAAACAAACGTCAACATACATAGAAACGAACTATTTGATAACAACTGCCACATTCCTGACTTGGTATATATAAAACTTCGTCATTGATTTGGCATTCCAACTTTCTGGTGATGATGATCAGTGTTGTGTAGGCGCTCATCTGGCGTACTAAATTATAAGACTGGTATCTTTGGTAATTATTTATTCTTCTTAAACAATTGTCATATTCGCAATATTTTGTCATCTCTTACTTACAATTGTTAGGTACAACAATAATGAAAAAGCCAAGTCATTAATTTAATTTTAGCTGCATAGATAATGTGTCTTTTGTAATTAGTTTTTTCTGAACCAGGATAATAAAGTAATTTTTTCACAAATGACTGTCCTGTCCTGATCCTATTACAAAAAAGTGGTAAATTCTAAAAACGTGAGTAAGGTGGAAAATACTACCGTTTTGTCTAATCGTTTTGTTGTTTGTTCCTCCTTTACCGCAAAGCTCAATATCTTATACATGTTGTTAGAGTATATCATTACTGTCGATCATAAATTTATGTTTAATGAGTAAAAAACTAGCATTCAGTAATTCTATATCTGAACATAATTGGCTAATGTTATTTCTCGCGGTCTGATACTGACATGCTTATTTAAAATTTTTTGATGTCAATATTTTTTGTCTGAATCTAACAGTTTTAGTGCCAGATTTCAAGTTGTTTTGCATGTTCATAAACCACAATTGAAAGGTGTCTCAAATTGAGTATAGGAAACACATACTAAAGTGTGTGATACGATTTTGTGAGGGAATTCGATGTTTGCTATACCATGGTTCACTTAAATGCACATTAAGACAATACCGCTGAATAATTCAGAATTAATTTTTTGCAGTATTTTAAAAAAAATATTTTGCTATGTATCCGTGTGTTATATGTTAAATGTTTAAAATTTTGTTGACGTTTGAAGCCTTAACAGTTACTGTATTTTGCTTTAAATACGCTAATAAAAGATTGAAAACCGATGCCAATACAGACATATAGGTTTTTGAACTTTTAACAAAAAGTTTGGGTGATGAGTGTTTTGTAGTATTTACAAGACATTGTATTAATAATCTCTCATTTTCTCCCTACCCAATTGACCTCTAACACTTAATTTGATAAGGACTGGTCATTGTTATTAGATCTTACGATTTGATGAAGTTAGTATTGCTTCACCTTTACCTGTTTACCTGTTCAAATTTGTCCCGTGTATATTCTGTAGCACGCGAAATTTTATTACGTAACAATAATAATTGTTTATGAAAACAAGGATGGCAACTCTACATCTGAAGTTAAAAAATCTTTAAGAAATTATAGAAATACTCTTATTTGTTGATTTACAATTATAGTTATGGTTTGTCTTTAGTTTTCTTTCCTAACATTATCCTAAAAGGTCAAGACGAATTTATATATTATTTTATTATTAATGAATATTTAATCCAATGTTCTTTAAGCAGAGAGTCTGGATATGTTACAGTGAGTGTTGAGAATAAACGGCAACATAAGTGAAGAATAGAGAACACTGACTTAAATATTAAAGAATATAGAAATGAAGATCCCCATCCATACCCTCATACTTAATAATTCACAATATAACTTTGCTGGACGTTCCTAATCTGAATGCTTTTAAAGTATAGTTATATTCTGTATATCTGAAAACAGGTTAATTTGCATTCCTTTTTACACACACGTGTGCTTCAATTGACCATCAAACTGTACACTGGGCTTGTTCATGATATTTTGGTTTTATTAAGTAAACAGTAAAATTTAAGGAAAAAGGGTATAAAAAATGTGTCATTAGAACAACTATCGCCAAAATCAAAGATTTTATTTTGGCTCTGAAAGCCTAATGAGTTAAAAAGATTTTTTTTTACAGATGTACGAATTGATAACAATCATAAATGAGACATGAGTGTACAGTGTTCTTTGATACTAGCATACTTACCAAGTATTGCGACTATATGGTATATGATAAAGAGGTGTGGTATAATTGCCAATGAGACAACTATCTACCAGAGTTCATGTTTAATTTTCGCATCTTTGCTCTTCTTCATAACCCTATTAATTTAACATCGTCTAATAATGGATTGATTACACAAGTAATTAGATGGCTGGCGGACTACGTAAAACTGCTATGTAATACCACAAGTTTAACCTCAAAATATGTAAAAATTTCTCATCCTTGCATTTTTCTAAGTTATCATATCAATTTAATGTTAATTTGAATGCAACGTTAATCAGTTGTGTCATACCAAAGATATAACCACAAAATTTGTCATTCACTTTGATGAGTTGTTCTTCTCCTGTTCTTCTTCACGTGCTATTAAACAGTAACTTCGGATACTATTAATTTCGGAATTTTGGGCCCTGAATGCTCTTCAACATCGTACTTTATTTTGCCTTTTAACTTTTTTGATTCTAGCGTCACTGATGTGTCTTTTGAAGACAAAACACGTGTCTACCGTACAAAATTATATAAGCCTCTGATGAGTTTATTAATATAAAATCTTCAGTGTGACGGATTTGTCATCAAATGCAAGCAACTCGACTCTCCTTATCTGGGATCTCACTGTTGGATTGGAGAAATCTAGTTATCCAAAGTTGATATTTTATATCCAACCAACATTGAGGAACAGATTTAATCAAGCTTTCTAGTGGTGGGCTTTGTTCCCTTAATATTTTCCCAATCAGTTTTGTTTTGTTGACGATTGTAAACACTGTTCTTGCCTTGACAAGTCTATTGTATTTGGTCTTACATCGATTTCTTCTCTTTGTTCTAGAGAGCCAAGGTAACATAGTGTTTATTTTGTTGTCAAAAATGAATAAATGACAATAAAGTACAGTCTATGACAATTATAAACATGTTCATTTTCAAAAGGTAAAATAACAAAAATACCAAACTCCAAGGAAAATTCAAAACAAAACGGAAAGTTCTTTATCAAATGGCAAGATCAAAAGCTCAAACAGATCAAACGTATGGAAAACAACTGTCCTATTCCTGACGACTTGGTACAGGCATTTCCTTATGTAGAAAATGGTGGATTAAACCTGTTTTTATGGCT